TGTGTGTGTGTGTGTGTGTGTGTGTGTGTGTGTGTGTGTGTGTGTGTGTGTGTGTGTGTGTGTGTGTGTGTGTGTGTGCATCTGTGTGAGTAGGCAGAAGTCGACTCGTCACCAGCGTTAGGTTGTGTGTGTGGATTAAATTGTATGTGCGTGCTTGGTATGGTTTTATAATAAAGGCATATGAAAATACACTATATGGGGCACTTTGTCTATCATGTGTCAAGGACACCTCTAATTTCAGAGAACTTGTTATGCCATCTTCTAGGGCGATGCGAATGGTCGTCTTAACCTATATCCCCACGAAGTTAAAAACAAGAAACCATTCTAACAAAATGAAAAGAAAAAAAAACACGAAAATATATGAAACAGCAAGGCTGGAATAGTAAACTTATATTCTAAATAGTGCCCAGAGTACTGAACATGAACATCAGAGAACTGATGGAAGCAGGGTTACCGTTAACCACCATACATCGCGAAAAGTATCATTGATCTATTTGCTTTCAAAAAGTACACGAAAATAGGGCAAGAATTGTAGTTGTGTTATGCGCCATATTACGAGGAAGATGGAGGTCGGGGTGTTCATGTCAACTCGCTATAGTATCCTGTTGCCTGGATTTAGCAATTGAAATTTTCTCCGCCGTTTCGAGCATGCAAATATGGCAGGCCCGATCACGATAGCTTACGCTGCGGCATAATGCATTGTCATGTGCAGAAAGGAGGAACATAGAAGAAGTACGAAGATGCAAACAGGGATGAACAATCCACTTAGCAACGGATAAGTTATCGGAGAAGGAGACGACTGCGGTGCAATATTTACGAGATTCAGTGCAAGCGGAGAATCGGACGGTCTGGACATCCACGTACAACGAGCCAACAAAAGAAGAACTAACACTAACCAGGCATGATTTGAGCTTGATACTTTATCAAGGCAATTGGTTAAACAACGAAATAGTTAACTTTTATTTGAACCTCGTAAGGCTTGACAACATGTGTCGCATAAGTCATCGCGAGTGTGATAGTGGACAAGACGGAACAGTAGTAGAAGAAAAAGGGCGCATCCCGATAACAACAATTTTTCGTTCCTTCGTCTTCGCGAAATTGTTCGACGACGACATGCAATACCAATACAGCGCAGTGCAGAAGTGGATGACAGATATCGATGTGGGTGACGTGAACTTAATAATAGCTCCATTCCATGTCCGGAATTCCAACCATTGGACACTAGTAATAACTGACCTAAGGCGCCAAAAAATGGAGTACTACGACTCGCTTACGCCTGACAAAGAATTGGCAAGGAAAGTGACAGGTGGTTTCGCAAGATTCTTGTTCGAAAGATCGGTTGAAGAGGGAAAGGTGGTGGATACAAAAGATTTCAACCACATATGGAATGTGCCAGGCATTCCTAGACAGTGCGACATTAATGAATGCGGTGTCTTTATGCTAACATATGCGTCACTGTTGGCAATAGGATTTCTCCCGCCATTCAACTTCTATTTCGACGACATCCACAATATAAGGGGACGGATCGCTTTAGATGTACTTGTCACACCGAAATATGAGTTACTTGTGCAACAAATGACATTTGATAGACGACATTATGAAAGCAAAACATTTGTTTATTTTTTTGCAAATGTAAAGAGATCATTGGCTCTGCTGGATAGACACGCATGAAAATGTCCGAATGTATTTAACAAAGCAACAACGCGACATGCCCGATTGAATACCATTCCTATGTTACTTCATATGACCTCGTACCCCCTACCCCTTACCCCTTACCCCTTACCCATATTACCCCTTACCCCTTACCCCCTATACCCATAAAACACTGCATAAAATACATACACAAATCGGAAAAAAATGGACTTTCAATTTCGCGCAAAAAATAAAAAATGAACGTTTTGATGAAATCGCAGTTACACATAAATCGAGAAACACATGTCATCAGTCCCTATTCTTAAACCACCAGTACTTGGCCCATACATAGGCCGTGGGCCTTCCCCGTTAACCCGCCGCAGTTTTCGGGGTTCGGGGAAGGCCCGACAGTGTAATGGAAGAGGACGTGCTTGGGCCCACAGAAATGGGGCAAATGGACTGTAAGATGTCCTGGTGCTGTGCTATGTGGAAAAGAGAGGAGGCTGAAGGCGGCGAAGCAGAAAAGAGAAAAGAAAAGGAAATCATTCTTTTCTTTCTTTTTCTTTTTTTCGGAAGAAAACTCATTTTTCATGAGTGTACCCCAGCCCTTCGGATTCCAGGGCTTCCCTGTTTTTTGTTTTGTTTTTTTAACTAGGCCTTGGCTGCTAGTGATGATGGTAAGAACATCAATCACTAGCAGCCCAGCCCCTGGCTCCATTCTATTGGTGGGGAGCTGCACCTGCTGGAAATCGGGTCCAACATCCCTTATTTACATTATACTGAATTATGAATCAAGGGGAGATGTGTCCCATAGTGAGCTGCCTCTTCAGCCAGAAAACTGGCCGCCTAATGAATATGTAATAACTAGCACCTGTCTAATCACAAACACCCTACCCAAATTTTTGCTATCCAATCTGA